TCTCTCTCTCTCATAATTAAAAAAAAACAATATTTAATTCAAATCAACCATAGTTTTTAATATTCCATAAAATATAATAAATTGTACCATGTCACGTATACACATTTAATGTAATATTAATATACAGTTTGTATTATATTATATTTTTTATATATAAAAGAAACATTGATCAATGTTTGCTATAACCTACCTTGATTGTATAAATCTTATATTTTTATTATATATTTTAATAAAAAATTCTATTAACTAAAATAACCATAACTAAAATTACTAAACAACTAAAACTAATGTTAAAACTAAAATAACTTGTAATTAAACTTTTAATTATACTTATAGTTAATGTAACAAAATTATCAGTATTTCAAATTATGTTATTTTAATTACTTTTTATTAGTGTTATGTTGTGTTTTATTAATTTATTGTATGAGATGTGAGTGAGTGAGGGAGTGAGGGAGGGGGTGAGACTTAGTGAGCAATATTCAATGGAATTTTATACATAATGTGATATTAATGTGAAATTAAATTAAGTTGTTATGAATTATAATATTTTAATAACTTTGATTAGAAAATATAAATTGTTAAAAACTGTCACCTAATTTACAAATAACCGTTTAATATATTAATTGAATTAATAAGTTATTAATAATGGTAGAAACGATCCTCAAGTATTATATTTAATAGCTATTTTTATTTATAGCAAATTTTAAAAATTATATTGACAGTTTAGATTAAATTTATGAAAAATGTTTAATTATGATTCAATCAGTAATGTATTTTGTTTCGCTATATTTTTTTTTGAAGATGAAGGTAAGTTTGCCGTCATGTGTGGCCACAGTTTATGAACTAATTTTCACTAAAATTAAATGCAAAATCAAATATTTATTATTTATTTATAACATTTACTTTTGGCTTGAGTTTGCCAAAAACACGGGACCCACCCGGCACTTCAATAGTGTCGGTCACCACGTAATCGCCGGCCGGGAAATAAATGACCTTGCACCCGGCCCATTTTGATATCGCCCGGGCTATAGCCTGGGTATCGTCGGTACGGCTGTCCCCTTTGGCGCCCTCCGACTTGACCGACACAAAGTCCTCCATCGCTACGTCCGTATACATGGGTTTCATGCGCTCAACAAACTTGCCATTAGAGTCGAGTAGGGCTGCGGGTTTGACCGGTGCCGGCGTTAATTGACCATGGTGGTATTAGCCCTAAAACATATTATATGGTTTTAAATAAAACATTTTGACAGATTTTAAAATTTAATTGTTATTAAAACGTTTAACAACATATTATTTAATTATTTTGTAATTATCAAAATGATTATTATAATGTATAAAATTTGTTTTATAATTAAACAAAAATTTTCCCTTTGCGGAAACACTTCCAAATAATTGTTGCATAACTTACTTCTGTGTTATAATAAATTTATATCTAATATTATATACAGTTTTTAGAAAATTTTAATTTTAAATGACTTTATTATGATTATTTGGTTGAATTGAATTACATAAAAATTTTAATTTTAAATGACTTTATTATGATTATTTGGTTGAATTGAATTACATAAAAATTTTTAATATTTTTAAAATGTTATTACTAATCATTAAAGCATATCATATCATGCAAATGCATGTTTTTATCGGTTAGTTATATAAGTTTGGGACTTAGGGGGCAAACGAATCACATAATAAGGAATGTTTTAACGAACTTTTATTTTGCATATAAATGCATATTTGGCTCATAAATGCATATACTGTTAAACTTCGTATCTTAGATCCTTCGATCTTAGATTTTTGTCTATCTTAGATCCAAACTCTTGGTCCCGATTCACTCCATAGAAGCCTAATGTTAAATTCCCTCATATCTTAGACCTTCTATCTTAGACTTTAGAGTCAATGTCTGGGACCCAATAGGTCCGTATGTGCCTCGTACCTTAGAATTGTAAAAATTGACAAAAATAACGTCACGTATTTGTATTTTATATCTAAAATCTTTCCTTTAATCTTAGAATTTCAGACAATTTTTCCCTTTTAACTTAGATTTATCCTTCTATCTTAGAATTTAACGATTTTTACCCTTTTATCTTATATTTATCCTTCTATCTTAGAATATCAGCCATTTTTTCCTTCTATATTAGAAATTGCTATCTTAGAATCTTTCTATCTTAGACTCATTTCCCCGGTCCCGACCAGGTCTAAGATCCAAGATTTAACAGTAACTGCATATTTGGTCCAAAAGCATATAAAAGCACTAATTTACACGAAAATCATAACTAACCATGTCTAAACTGTTTAAAAAATTTACAATAAATGAAAATCAATTATAGTTTATGACTAAATATAATTTTAAAAACAATTATCTATTTGATTAACATTATTTAGTAGTGATAAAGTATTACCTATTGTAGTGGCAGGAATTATTATATCATTTAAAAAGGAATAATATATTTTTATTTTATATTTAAATTAATTAATTATATTTAAATACGTTTTGAAAGGCTAACGACCATTTTCATCATAATATTTGACTATATTGTTCATAAAACATATTAAATAATACTTATATCACATATTTAAAAATTTATAAGTGCATATTTGAGTGCACATTTGACCATTTTTTAGTGCATTTTATATGACATATTTGACTGCTTATAAATGCATATATTTCTATGCTTTACTAATCATTATAACAGAATAAAATATATTTTGAAACATACAAATATTACATTAAAGGTGCATAATATTGTAAAAATTATTGTATATTAATATTTTCAAAATTTCCGGCGCTGCATGTTTCCCCAAATATTAATTCTGTCAATATTTTTAATAAATAAACAAAACAAGTTAATTTATATATACAGTTTACATTAAAATGACAATTAAATTAATATTTAAATAAACATACAATTCGTATTTTATTTTTTCTTATTTTAATTACTTAAAATATTAATTAAAAATCAATAATAACCACGATAAATTTATTTACTTAATAGTTTTAATCTATTGATGCAAAAATCCTGCAAATGTTGTACAAAAGTCTCCCCTATAATTCTGAAAAAGGTATACAATCCGGTCTCGTAAACAATCACATTCTCCGGTCACTAATCACTAATCGAATACTTACAAGGAAAATATTTGAAATGATACCAAGATATAATAATATATTTGCATTATTTTGGTAGAATAGTGTATAAAAAATATTTTAATAATAATATTTTTTGCTGTAACTCATTCGGAAGCGTGTGGGAGGCGTTTGAACATTTGAGTTAATAACATTTAATTTATGTAATATATCCATCATAAATTATAAGTAATAAAGTAACTCATATTTAATGATTCAATTTATGATTTTCGTTTTTTCTCTATCATTAATCCATTTGTCTGTTATTCTTAAAGATTTGGGTAATCCTACAATAATATGTATGTTTATATCAGATAATTTTTATTACAATTGAATACAATTAACCTATATTTTACATCTATTATGTATAAAACGAAGAATTCTTCTGTGCTCTTTAAACCAAATGTTAATAATGTCTAAATTTTTGATAAATAAACAAAATAAGTTAATTTATATATACAGTTTACATTAAAATTACGCTTACAAATAAGTTTACATTAATATATAAATAGTTTCTATTTTATTTTCTGATATTTATTTTAAATCATAAAAAAAATTAATTATAATAGTGATAAATTGATTAAATTAATAGTTATTGATAAAACAAACTCGGCAATTGTTGAGCAAAAGTCTCGCCTATTGTCCGCCTGACGGACCCGACTCTGGCCGTCGACGGACACCATATTATCCGACGTTTTAGTATTAATGTTAAACAAATAGATATTTTTGGTCGAGTTCTCAACCGATACCATATTGTCCCGACAGTGCTCTTGTGCTATACATCCCTGACCATAGTTCTGGAAAAAGTTGTACAGTCCGGCCCCGTAAACAAACACACTCTCCGAGTTGACAATCCTTAAACCCCAGGCCATGGGACAGGTGACCGAGCCCTGGGGACAATGGCTATAATCGGGATCATTCCACTTGGCCAACGTGGTAAACGGTTTGGGCGCCGGCGGATTGGCCTGATAATAAGGGGTCTCAGTCTGGATGAGTCCCAACATCACATTCTTGGCATTGGCTATATTGTACTAATAGAGTACGTTATGCTCGCTGTGTCATGCGGGCCCACTTTGATCGGCATTTGGGTCGACCGATTGACCGTCTAAATATTTGTATTGCCGTACATAGAAAAAATGTTTTCCGGGCCCGGACCCTTTAGTCGTTACCCATTTTCACCACAAATGAAAACAAAATAAGATATAAATTATATTAAATTTATGTAAAATAAAATTTAAAAGTCGAAATCGCATATCCCAATTATTTAATATTATTAAGTTTTTGATAATAAAAATATTCTACAAAATCTATATTTACAGTTCCTATTATAAATAAATTTTATAAAATTATTAACAATATTTTGTTTTGTTTAAAATGGGTTTCAACTCAAATACCTGACGGTTTCGACGATGACTTGATCTTTGTTACGACACTTATATCAATGAATTTTCATCACAACTAAATGAATAACAAAATTTTATATTTATAATACAATATATTAAAATTCATATATAATTAATTAAATTATCTGTTTTTATTGGATCCATTTACATATTAATATTGAGTTTCAGATAGTAGAAAATGATTACAAAATGTATGTTTACAGTTTATCAATGAATTTTTGTCACAACTGAGCGCAAAACATATTATATAATTTTAATACAGCATTTATTAAAAAATAATATTATTAGCCAAACAATATTAAATAAACCATTATTTAATGTTATTGAATATTCAACAAATTCATTAATCTATGAATTTTATATTTACAGTTTAGATAATGATTAACATTCAAAACATATATTTCTTCGCTTAGTTTGACACAAATAGCCGATGGTTTGGACGAGTGTTTGAATGATGTGTTTGTGGAACAGAAAGTCCCCCAACACTGCCTCCCGTCTGAAAGCCCACGCCTTCCGGTCGATAGTCATTGCGATAGACATTACCTATCAATAAAATGACAACAATCACCATGGTTTACAATTTGTTGTGTTTCCCGAATTAGTTACATGGAAATTATGGGGTAAAATAATGTTTAAAAATTATATTAATTAAAATGTATTCATATAGTTTCATATAATTTAATTATATTGTATTTATCAAATTAATTATTATAATGCATAAAATTTATTTTACAACTAATTTAACATTTAATCTGTTTGAAAACGCTCCAAATAATTGTTACATAATTTACTTCTGTATTATAGAAAATTTATATCTAATATAATAAACAGTTTTTACAAAAGTTTTAATTCTAAATAAATTAATTTTTGAATAATGATTATTTGGTTGAATTGAATTAAATGAACATTTTAAATATTTTTAACCACAATTTAGTATGAATAATGTGGTTTATAGCATCGTTCGGCCACATCCCCTTTAAATCCTATTAAAATTTACAATTATTTAATCTAACAGAAATTAAAATGTTTAATAAATTATAATTAATTATTTAATGATTTGAAAATAATTATTATAGCATCATGGATAATTTATAACCAAATTTAATGTTTACAAAAAACTAAAGATATTCCAATAAATATTATTTAATCAATTGCTTTAATATTATAATTTGTAAAAATATCTGCGATTCATAGCCTCTGAGAAAGGACTTTAATCTCATAAAAATAATAATCACTATTTTATTCATTTATCTTTAGAATAGCAAAATATTAAAATTAAAAAATATTTGATTATATAATTTTAAATTTGATAGTAATTTGTAATATAAATTACCTTGTTACAAAATAAGAATCAGTCGCTGATAAGATTCCATTTAGTTTATTATTAATTTAATTTATTTGTAAATCGTGGAAATATTAAAATAATTTACTGTTCTTCAAACAATTCTATTTTTTAATTAAGCACTACTTTTGTAAATAAAAATTGTTTAATTATTATAACACTAATACAAGTATATAATTTATATACTTGTATTAGTGTTATAATAATTAAACAATTTTTATATAATATAAAGTAAAAGTTATATTAAAAGTTGTTTACGTCAATTATTAATGATTATGATATGAGTTATTCTTTAAAATTGACAGAATTTGTTGACTCTATTTTTGGTTAAAAATTAATTAAGTTCATGCATTTAACGATTATTAATTAAATAGTTTACAGTTAATTGACAAATTATATATCTAAATCAAATATAATAAAAATTGTTTAATTATTTAATTCATTAATGAAAACTTATTTTAATATAATGTTCGGTACACGAATTTGTTTAAATCACCACTACGTTAATTTATTTATTATTGTTGTTGTAAATACAATATGAGATTATAATAATGTTCAAATAATACAATACAAATTGTACACATGGTAATTTTTGGAGTTGTATTGATGGGTATAACCTTCTGGTATTACAGCCGACTCTGGCCGTCGACGGACACCATATTATCCGAAGTTTTAGTATTAATGTTAAACAAATTGATATTTTTAGTTGAGTTTTCAACCGATACTATATAATCCTGACATTGCTCTTGAGCTATCATCTTGAATTAATATCTTTTAACTAAAAATTTTAGCAATATGCGCAAAATTGTAGGTTATTAAAAATAATAAAAGTTTAATATGGTTAAACTGTAACAAATTATAAAAATTTCAATTGTGCTACTTCTACATAAATTTTGATTTTAAATCTGGCCACGACACAACTCATCAGTTTTTATTTAGGTTAATTTTAAAAATAGCAATTTATACACTACTTTATACATATTATATATTTTGTATTAACTTAACAAACCTTTAAATTAAAAACCGTGCTAATAACTACAATTAATCAAATATGTGGCAGAGTTTTTATTTAAAAATTTGGGTAATTCCACCGTTATATCAATATATGGGCCAACATGTAATAAATAGATTTTCACTAAAATTAAATACAAATAACCTATATTTAATTTATACTAAATTTAAAAATTTGACCTTTAGTTTACTTCCACCAATTGTTCATATGATCTAAATTTTTAATAAATAAACAAATCAAGTAAATTTATATATACAGTTTACACTGCTATTACAACATTAATGAAATTCCTTCCCCTTGTATTTACTCAAACACACCAAAAAGTGCACACATATACAACAGTACAATACAATAGGCAGGTGGGAGGGGTTTGACAACTATAAACTATAGAGGGGATAAAAGGAGAGAAATGTGTAACGAGCTTTGGCCTCTAGTTTATATTTAAATAAACATACAACTTTTATTTTATTTTCTGTTACTTTATTTTATTTTAAATAATAATATAAAAGAGAAATAATCAAGATAAAATTATTTAATTAATAGCTTAAATCTATTGATCCAAAAATCCGGCAATTGTTGAGCAAAAGTCTCCCCTATTGTCCGCCTGACGGACCCGACTCTGGCCGTCGACGGACACCATATTATCCGACGCTTTGGTATTAATGTTAAACAAATAGATATTTTTAGTCGAGTTCTCAACCGACACCATATTGTCCTGACAGTGCTCTTGAGCTATACATCCCTGACCGTAGTTCTGGAAAAAGTTATACAGTCCGGCCCCGTAAACAAACACACTCTCCGAGTTGACAATCCTTAAACCCCAGGCCATGGGACAGGTGACCGAGCCCTGGGGGCAGTGGCTATAATCGGGGTCATTCCACTTGGCCAACGTGGTGAACGGTTTGGGCGCCGGTGGGTTTGCCTGATAGTAGGGCGTCTCGGTCTGGATGAGTCCCAACATCACATTCTTGGCATTGGCTATATTGTACTGATAGAGTACGTTATGCTCGCTGGCCGTCCCGTAGCCCCACACCGGGCCTTCTTTGCTCTCGATGTAAATACCTCTACCGTTGTAGACGCTAATCTGGGACCAACCATCCAGGTCATGGTCACCCAACCATGCCCACATATTCTCCAAATAGGCCGACCCGGTGGGGGCCACGTGCAACATCAAGAAAGCACCTTCGCACTCCTCTTTGAAGCCCTGATCCCTATTGCAGTTACCCGACTGAAGGTCAGTGCCTTTGGCGCCGCCCACCCGGAAGTGCACGTCCCAGAAGCCGACGGCCGCCTTCTGGCCTTCCGGCTCCCGGACGTTGACCTGCAATAGTATAGCGCCGGGCACTCGACCCTGAGTCGACAGGATTAAGTCCGACACCTCGGCCACACCCGTGTCGCCCGGGTTACCCACTTTGAGCACCGGTCGGGGATTATTCATGTCCTGGAATTTGGCGCCCTTTGCCAATATTGTTGGCCAGAGTTCGCCCAACACGCGGGACCCGACGGGCACTTCGATAGTGTCGGTCACCACGTAGTCGCCGGCCGGGAAATAAATGACCTTGCACCCGGCCCATTTTGACATAGCCCGTGCTATGGCCGCCGTGTCGTCGGTACGGCCGTCCCCTTTGGCGCCCTCCGACTTGACCGACACAAAGTCCTCCATCGCTACGTCCGTATACATGGGTTTCATGCGCTCAACAAACTTGCCATTAGAGTCGAGTAGGGCTGCGGGTTTGACAGGTGCCGGTGTCAGCTGGCCCTGGTGGTATTGGCCCTGACCTTGGCGATTGTAGAAACGACCCTGACCCCACGACTGAATTGTTTTGGTGCCCCCTTCGAGTACGACCTGACCGTTGGGTTTGGATACGGCGTGCGCTACGTTCGTGAGCCTCACATTGTCCAGTATGAGAGCGCCGGCACCCTTGGGCTGTGCCTGCGGTGACGAGACGGTGAGTACGGCGTGTTCTGTGTTGGATATCTCCGAGTCTATCAGTGCCAATGAGCTAGATTTTTGGCCATATTCACCCCCACTTGATATGTCCAAACCTGTATTTGGTGAATAATATTGTAACAATATTATGTCATAATTTAAAGATATTTTTACTCAATAAAAATATTATTTATTAATTGTGTCGTGTAAATATAGGAGTATGCCTAAATGGCCACCCAACAAATGGCCACCCTGGAAATGGCCACCCTGCAACTTTTGTTAGGCGGTCGTTAGGTCGACCCAAATACCGACAACAATCAAAAGTGACAGGACCTATACAACGTTTTTCCCGTAAAATGTTACAATTTTCCGGAAAATTTTTTATTAAAATTTTTAATGTAAAAATGTCATTATTAGTTGTAGAAATCTATTATATAATTTTTATTAATTAATTTTTACAAAAAAACTTATTTTTTTGTTTCCGTGGTTATGAAAAATTTGACGGAAAAAACGTTGTATAGGTCCTGCTACCTTTGATTGTTGTCGGTATTTGGGACGACCTAACAACCGCCTAACAAAGGTTGCAGGGTGGCCATTTCCCAAGG